TTAGTCAACCGCAGCTCATCTAGTTGTCTCGATCACTCGTTCGTTGTCGTTGCTCAAACTCATTCGTTACGTTTTGTCGTCTCGTACTCGTACTCGTCAAGCGTTTTCTCTCATCCGACACTTGTCTCCCTAGTAAGACACTATCTCTCTCGAAGAGCATTTACGTACGCTCAATTCGTACCTTGGTTACCGTTATTTCATTCCTACACTCGCTGGTACTAAAAAACGTGCTCAGCGAGTGCTGGGCGTTCTCGTTATCGTTTTATCCTGTGCAGTCGATCCAACCTGGCGACTCGTCCCATCCCCGGCATGTTTAACTCTATTATGTTTGATCTTTAACTAATCGTAACTTATTTATTTATCTATTCTGCAGCCCCGTGCGACGTCCGTTAGGCCACAATTCGACGGATTGGCCTTCCCACCAAGATTCGACCTTGCTCCTGAAAACGAATTCTAAATGCCATTTCATTTTTTAATTTATTTTAAATGATATTTCATAATGATTATGTTTATGATTTTAATTTAATTTCTTAATTTAAAAACAAAATAATAAAACTATAACAAAATATATATCGAAAACGACGGGAGGCAAACCACCAACAACGCCAAATGCACTTAGGCAAAAAATGAAATCAAATAACAACAATCGATCACCATCGATTAGCATAAATACATAAGTGAACAGTGTACTATAGTAATAGCATCACTGTGTATATCAGGCTTTTGTGTAAGCGCGACATTTGCCATGGGGACACTGCTCGCTGGTCCTGTATTTGTATTTGTATTTATATATTTTTATACAACTTTCGAAATGCATTCAACCAACTAACTATCAAAGAACCATTCGATTCTCGCCCAACAACATGAGAATGATCGCGAAATGAGAGAGCCCCGTCAAAGTGAAGGCCCCGCGGCGGTGTCCGCCGGTAAATGTCGCCCGCTGTTCGAATATTTTGCTCTATATGTATTCTCAATTAATTGTCATACAGACCAGACAAGACTTACGGACGACAAGAGCTATACACTGCGCTTATGTTTATGTTTAATTTTGACTCTATCAAGCAATGATAAAGAGATAAGATCATCACTCGACACTAAATGAAAAGTATACAAAAAAGGAACAAAATAAATGTAAATCAATTTAAAAAGTGTCTTTTATTCAAAGCAGTGCTACGAAATAACAATCTTGGGTGGAAATTTATTACGATCTAAAGCGTTCAATAAATTCATTCGTACATAAAAATACATCTTCAAATAGAATGTTTCTTAATTTGCCATTCTATATGGTTGTTTAACTAGGGAGAATAAAAAACCGATAAGGAATTTCTAATCTCAGCTACATTACATTTAGAAATATAAATTAACATTGGTGGTTAGAATTAAAACGCACGTTTTATATAAACTAATAAGAACATATGGATATTTATTCACATTTAGTTAAGCCCCCGACAAAATAATTCCTATTTTCCCGCCCCAGGAGCCCTGGGATTCGGCTCGATGCGTATAAGTTGCTTGTGCTGGCCGATCATGTGCTCGATGTGGTTGCATTCCCGGAGGTGACCCTTGAACTCATCCAAAGTCTGGTAGAGCACCGGATAGAGAGCGGGCAGGAGGCCGTGGTCCAGAGTCGGGAAGAGATGATGGAGTACATGGTCGCCGAAGTGGGTGAGCACCAGGAACTGGGACCATTTGAGATCGCCGCGGTCAATGATCGTGTCCACTTGGAAGAGGCCCCAGTCACGATCCTCGCGATTTGCATCGCCCTCGTGATAGATTTCCGGATCGTGATGCGCCGCATTCAGACCGATCAAACAAAAGCTAAAGCTGGCGATCGACGTCATCGCGAGCCACTGGCGAACACAGATCCAAACGCCCAACGAACCTCCGGTTCCCAGGTAAATTGCGATGGGTATGCTCAGCGGCAGTAGATCGTGCCAGTACAGGATGTTCGTGTGGCGCAGCGAGTAGAAAATACTGCAATATCAATCAAACAAACGATCTCTGATTAGACTTTGCTTACGTCCACGTCGATCACACACTCACCGTGTGCCTATCTGTATAAAGAAGGCTAGGGCATAGGCCACCGGTTCCGTGACCCAGGACACATAGCGCATCACCTTGCTCTTGATGTGCGGATTGGGTACCCAGCACAGCAGCGGCTCGAACATGGACAGTTCCAGGTCGAAGTAGGAGTTTGGATAGATGTGGTGGGACAGAGCATGAGACACTCGCCAGGCGGCGAAGTTCATCAGTCCCAGGTTGAAGGCGTACATCTGCCAGTTGTCACGACGATGGAAGTAATTGTGGGACACGATCACCGTCCAGCAGAGGGCCACACCCGCCAGGACCAGAGCCACGAGGCTGTTGTATTTGGCACTGGCAATGCCAAAGAGGAAGAGCGACACAAGGACGCCCAGATGGATCAACTATAGGAATAAAATAATTCAAAATATTTTATTAATACACTAGTCTAATTACGAATTTTAAACGTTTATTTTTTTTATGGGCATAGAAACCATAAAATAACAACATATCTTATGATGACTTCACACCGTCATGACGGTTAAATGAGCTTAAGTTTTTATTTAGTACCCTATAACGTTCGTGAAACCCGAGACATTGAGCTTCTAATCAGTATGTAATTGATAAGGAATATAAGTTAATATAAAATAGTATTTAAACCACGCCCATTTCCTCTTAATTAGTTTTTACCGTTTCTACACTCACATCACTTTTCCTCTTAGGACGCTTGTCCACCGTCTTCAACTGTTCGCGCACTCGTTCCTTGAGCGTCTTGTAGAAGCCTCTCTCCTCGAGTGTCAAGGTGTAGATCCTTGGCTCTTCCGCATCCTTCACCTTGTACTTGGCGATCATCTTCTCGGGAGTCTTCGTAAGATGATGCGCCTCGAAGGCCTCGGTAATGTCGGTGCCTTTGGTTTCGCGAATCCAGAAAGGACCTCCGGGATGCTTGTCAATGAACTCGGTGAAGTCATAGATGCCATCGTATATGCGCCAGAGTCCTTCGGCCCGATCGTCCTGTCGCTTACCCTTCTGCCAGCTGTGAGTGGTTATCAGGGGCGAGTTGCGATACGTGGGAAACTTGGTGGCAATGCCGCTCTTTTTCCATTCCTCGATCACCATTTTGATGAGTCCTTTTGATGGTTGACTTCCTTGAAAAACACTACACCGATCCAGGAACCTAACGCCGGCGATTCCAGCCACTTAATGAATGGCACCGGCATTGGCGCTGTGACTTTATGCATAGCGCGAATCTCGCCAGATTATATAAACCGAAAATCGATTCAAATTTACAAACAAAACGTTTCCATTTTGATAAGATGTCAGTCTTATCAGCGGAGCGCCGTGGGGCCACAGCTGCCGCCTCTAAACTCTTGCGTCTATTTTATTCTCATATTTTTTTGTCGTTATCAAAATTTCATTAGGTGAAATCACCCAGTGGGTTTGTCTAAGCACCACATGGACGTTCGGCCCAGACTTCGGTGATAATAGGTCAGTGCGGTACTTATAAACATTGTTATAGTATCGCGGTAATTTGAGGCTTCGCTCGGCTGGCGAGGGTCTAGCCGAAAGCTATTAGCTATATGTATATGTATGTACATACATAAATGGGAAAGTCTTTTTAAGGCTCCTATAAAATATGCAATATACTTTGACTAAAGAAAATACAGGGTATAAAAAATAATAGTAAACAAGAAAGGAAAGCTAACTTCGGGCGGAGCCGAAGTTGATATACCCTTGCAGAATTCTCTATAATAATATTCTCCAAAATTATTCCTATGATGCATTCTTTATACTCATAAAAAATCCAAACTTCCTAACTTTAAAAACACCAAAGTTATGGCATTTCGAATCGTTCAGTTATATGGCAGCTATAGGATATAGTCGGCCGATCCTTATGAAATTTGGTAGGATTGATTGGACAAATATAAAACCTGTAGAAAATCTTAACTTTCTAACTTTACAAACACCAAAGTCATGGCATTTCCAATCGTTCAGTTATATGGCAGCTATAGGATATAGTCGGCCGATCCTTATGAAATTTGGTAGGTCGGATTGATTGGCCAAATATAAAACCCATAGAAAATCCCAACTTTCTAACTTTACAAACACCAAAGTTATGGCATTTCCGATCAATCAGTTATATGGCAGCTATAGGATATAGTCGGCCGATCCCTATGAAATTTGGTACGTCGGATTGATTGGCCAAATATTATACCCATAGAGAGTCCCAACTTCCTAACTTAACAAACAGCAGAGTTATGGCATTTCCGATCAATCAGTTATATGGCAGCTATAGGATATAGTCGGCCGATCTCGGCCGTTCCGACTTATATACTGCGTGCAAAGGAAAGAAGGGTGTGTGCAAAGTTTCAATTCGATAGCTTTAAAACTGAGAGACTAGTTTGCGTAGAAACAGACAGACGGACAGACGGACAGACAGACGGACAGACGGACAGACGGACAGACGGACAGACGGACATGGCTATATCAACTCAGGAGGTGATCCTGATCAAGAATATATATACTTTATAGGGTCGGAGATGCCTCCTTCACTGCGTTGCACACTTTTGACCAAAATTATAATACCCTCTGCAAGGGTATAAAAAGTCTGCTTAATTTGTTGGCATTTTAATAACAGGAGGAAACAATTTTATAGAAAGTAATGAAAATATATACAATTTAAAGAACTAGACCATTAAAAATACTTTATGTTCAAAACTATATTTTGGTTTTTAAGTTTTGAGCTATGTTGATATAATCCAATAACCCTTCAAACTAATATCAAAACGAAGTGTGCCCGGAATACCATTTACATATTATTTCATTTCCACTCGACCCATGATAAGAAGTGAGAGGCAGTGAGCGAAAAGCTTTCGATCTGCGAAACTCTCTGATCAGAGCTTTACTAATTGATCGAGCGAGTGTAATCCAAAAACAAAAGCCGAGCGACGCTCCAAATAAAAGTTTAGTAGGCGCTACGTAAACAAACTCTGCGGTTTGTCTTCACTGGGGTGCACAGAGCAACCGGTTCTTTTGGTGGGTATTAAGTTGAACTTGGGAATCAATCAGCTATGTAGTTATCAGCCACGATTAAGTAGTAGCATTGCAAGTACTTTCTTAGACTATAATTAACTTATTTTATTCGTGTAGATCGATTAACGAACTGTGAATACGATGGCACCCAATATAAAGGAGGATGAATCCTGGAAAGTGTCAGGAATTTCAAGAACTTATCCGAGCTACCGACAGTATCATCCCATCACAAGTGAAAGGTATGTATCTAAAATAATGTTCAATAGCTAAAATACAAATAAATTATAATTTTCTCTTGCTTAGTTGGCTGGAGGGCAAACATGCTGATGACGAGGCCGAAGGTCTTTGGCGCATTAACGACAAGCTCTACGACTTGAGCGACTTTGCTTCGCGCCATCCGGGCGGCATCTTTTGGATCGAGTGCACCAGAGGCACGGATATCACGGAACCTTTCGAGTCGCATCACATCGAGAATCGAGCTCGAGAAATGCTTAGTAAATTTGAAGTGCGACAGGCGGCAAAGCCCCGAAACTACAAGTTTACGCTTAAAGAAAATGGTTTCTACATGACCCTGAAGCGGAGAGTGCGAGAAAAGCTGAGAATGATTGAGTACTCTCCCACCAAGAAAACAGAGGTATTTAGATGTTTTTTAGGAAAATGTTTTTAGAACGAATTATAAAAGAGTGTCTCACATTTAAGGCCATATTGTCTTATTATCGGTCCTTGTGAGGATAAGACATTTCTTTTTATAACCTATTGTATAATACAGTTTTGACAAATATCCGCTTTGATATGACTTTAATCCGCTTATTTGCAATACTTAAGATATTTTTTCATAGTCCTTTGATTTACTTAATTTAATTTTATCTTTCAGTTTCTCCATCTGGGCATCCTGGTGTCCGTGTTCCTCTTCAGCTGGGCAGGGACAGTACTGAACTCCCTAATTTTCAAGAGTCTCGCGGGTTTGGCCCTTTGTTGGGTAGCCACCTCCACCCACAATTACTTTCATCAGCGAGATAGTTGGCGGATGTACACTTTTAATCTGACCATGATGAACTTCCGGAGCTGGCGGGTATCGCATGCCCTATCACACCATGTCTATGCGAATTCGCTGCACGATCTGGAGATGTCGATGTTTGAGCCGTTTTTGTGCTGGATTCCCGATTGCCATTATGCCAGTAAAACGCAACGATGGATCTCCGTGGTTATCTCCCCTGTGGTATATTTGGTTTTGTTTCAAGGACAGATTCTGATTCGGTAAGTAAATGATGTATAATTTCTTATTAAATATTTATGGATTTTCTTTTTTTTCAGCTTGGTTCTCTCTTTGACAAAAAGAAACCTCATGTACTGGGATGACCTTATTGGTCTGAGCCTACCAATGTTTCTATATGTCTTCACTGGCGCTGGCTTATTAGAAACTCTCGTTAGCTGGCAAATAATCGTAGCCGTGGGAAGCTTTATATTTGGGCTTGTTGGCCTCACAGCAGCCCATCATGATCCTCGTATTTTGCACGATGGCGATGCCCAACGCCAGGACATCGATTGGGGTCTTTATCAAGTAGATACTATCATCGATCGTGGCGATATTAAGTGGTCGGATCTCTTGGTTCTAACCCACTTTGGCGAACATGCCCTACATCATCTTTTTCCCACCCTGGATCACGGAGTTCTTAAACACCTCTATCCTGAGTTGAAGAAAACGATGAAAGAGTTCGATGTGGAACTGAGGGAGATCAATCACTGGGGCCACATCAAGGGGCAGAATCAGCAATTGCTGAGGATAAAAAAGAATCCTGTGCCACCGGGTATTAAAAAGGTCATGTAGAGTGGGGTTGGGAAGCATGTGAAAAAGTTGATATTTGTAAATATTAAAATAAACTAATGTTGGGGGAATTAGATCTTACGATTCTTAGCAAATCATTAAATGCAAGGGTGAATTGTAAAATTAGCTTTAATGTTTCTATTCTTACTCATATATTAGTATGTATTAAACTATATTAACAGAATGTGCTCTTATCAAAAAGCTGGCTCTCTTTCTTTTGTTCTCTGTTAACGACGGTTAAAAGCTCTTTTTTCATTTCCGCTTGTTTATGGTGTTTCTTGTGATATCATCATGGTTTATTTGATCTGGAGTTTATGCAGCCCATTAACATTTCTTACCACACATAACTTAGCCACTCTTTTGAGGTGAGAGTTCAACACCATTGATAATTTTTTTGAGTAGACCAACACTAACGCTTAACTACGTCAAAAGATATTTTTTTTGTTAAGTCATCATGCCAAAGCAAAATAAAGAAATGCATGGTTTAGATAAATGGAAATTTTAAGCAACGTAAATTGAATTTAATTAAATACCAAAAAAAGTTTTGTAATAATTTTGTTAAAAAATTTAGACAATTGAAGTATTATAAACAAAAATTTGAGATGTTTTTGTTTTGTCATTAAAACACACAAATTTTGTTCAAAAATGTAGCTTCCGAGAGACATATTAAAATAAATACAATTGTCATTAATATTTAATTGTATTTGAAATGATGTTTCTTTTCTTTTTATTCGATTCGCTTACGAATTAAATAAGGGAAGGGTCAAACCTCATTAGATTCTTGCAGATTAGATTGTAGTTCGGTGTAAAAGGGGTTGATAAGCGATTTTGGTAGCCAGCAGCTACCAAGTTTTCCAATAAATAGCTGGTCGCTAATACAGCTCCCATCAGTTTCATTTTGACTTTGACCGAAGAAAATAGTAAAACTAGTTTATAAAATGGTAGCGCTTCGCTCCGTTATTTTTTGGGTGCTTGCAGTTGTGACTTCCACACAAGCAGCCAATATTTTGGGGCTCTACAGCAGCTACAGTCCCTCGCATCTGATAATCCACATGTCGGCGGCCAAGGCATTGGCCGAAGCAGGACATAATGTGACGGTGGTGTCGATGATGGAGCCAAAAGTAACGCACAAGGACATCCACGTAATTGTAGTGCCGCTGGAGAAGGAAAAACTGCTCATTCTGGAAAACCAAATGGTCACCATGGCCGGGAAGAAGAACTCCATGATAAGCACCTTTCACCGCATCTTAAACGACATGGATGTGATGATCGATTCCCAGGCTGATATACTTTCCGACCCGAGATTCCTGCGTATTTTCGACACCAAATTTGATTTGATGATATTGGGTGCCTTCCTTAACGACTTCCAATTGGGAGTTGCAGCTCAGCTAAAGGTTCCTGTAATCGTTGACTGGATGACAGCGCCGAACTTCATAACTGATGGGTTTACGGGAAACCCTTCTGAGTTATCCTACGTACCCAATGTAGCCACTTTTACAACGCATCCCATGAGCTTCCTTAAACGAGCAGAAAACCTGGCCAAGCACCTGCTTATGGCTTACATGTCGACACTGCTGGATTCCAAATTGACAGGCATTTATAAGAAATTCTATGGTGCAGAAAACGGACAACCAACTCTTAATGAGCTCAGAAAGAACATCTCTATGGTCTTTGTCGGCTCTCATTTAGTCAGCGAAGGTCCTATAAGACCTTTGGTACCCGCCATCGTTGAAACTGGAGGCATTCAGGTGAAGGATAAGCCGGATCCACTGCCCAAAGATATTGATGAGTTTCTAAGCAAGTCTACCCAGGGAGCTGTCTTTCTCTCACTCGGCTCCAACATCAAGAGCTCCACGGTGAATCCGGAAATAGTTCAGACCATCTTCAAAGTGCTATCAGGACTGAAACTGAACGTTATCTGGAAATGGGAGGATCTGGAGAACACACCCGGCAATGCATCCAACATTCTATATAAGACTTGGCTGCCCCAAGATGATATCCTGGCACATCGAAACACCAAACTTTTTATTACTCATGCTGGAAAGGGAGGCATCACCGAGTCCCAATACCATGGAGTACCTATGGTGGCCTTGCCCATTTTTGCGGATCAACCCGGAAACGCTGAAATCATGAAAAATTCGGGATATGGCGTGGCTCTCAATTTGCTCACTATTACCGAAGAAAGCCTAAGCAAGGCCATCAAAGAAGTCTTGGAAAACGAGAAGTATAGTCAAGCTGTTGGCAAGTTCTCCGCTCTGTACAGGGATCGACCTCTGACCGCAAAACAATCGGTGGTTTTCTGGACGGAGTACGTCCTGAGGCATCATGGTGCACCCCACCTGCAGAGTCCGGCGGTGCATATGAGTTTCATTGAAAGAAACAATCTGGATATATACACTCTTCTTATAACGATTGTGGTATTGTTTGTTTTCTTAACCCGACTGGTTGCAAAATTTGTGTGGAGCAAAATCCTGGGCAAGGCAAATATTTCAACGGCCAAAAAAAAACAATAAATTAAATTGACCTACCTGTACCAGAAAAATATATTTTGGAATAAAGTGATACAACATATTTAAATATTATTACATGCATTTTAACTTAAAATATTAAAAATTTTGAATAAGAATGAACAATTTTAAAATTCAAATAATGTCGAGCTTCTAAACGACGAACTTCTCAACTTAAGGTCAATATAGGTTAAAGAATTTTTTAATTTGTATATCCTTGCTGAGGGTATTATAATTTCAGTCAAAAGTTTGCAGCGCAGTGAAGGGCACATTTCCGACCCTGTTAAGCGTATATATTTTGATCAGCATTACCAGGCGAGTCTTCACTGGGGTGCACAGAGCGACCGGTTCTTTTGGTGGGTATTAAGATGAACTTGGGAATCAATCAGCTATGTAGTTATCAGCCACGATTAAGTAGTAGCATTGCAAGTACTTTCTTAGACTATAATTAACTTACTTTATTCGTGTAGATCGATTAACGAACTGTGTCTACAATGGCGCCCAATATAAAGGAGGATGAATCCTGGAAAGTGTCAGGAATTTCAAGAACTTATCCGAGCTACCGACAGCATCATCCCATCACAAGTGGTATGTATCTAAAATAATGTTCAATAGCTAAAATACAAATAAATTATAATTTTCTCTTGCTTAGTTGGCTGGAGGGCAAACATGCTGATGACGAGGCCGAAGGTCTTTGGCGCATTAACGACATGCCTACGACTTGAGCGACTTTGCTTCGCGCCATCCGGGCGGCACCTTTTGGATCGAGTGCACCAGAGGCACGGATATCACGGAACCTTTCGAATCGCATCACATCGAGAATCGAGCTCGAGAAATGCTTAGTAAATTCGAAGTGCGCCAAGCAGCAAAACCCCGAAACTACAAGTTTACGCTTAAAGAAAATGGTTTCTACATGACCCTGAAGCGGAGAGTGCGAGAAAAGCTGAGAATGATTGAGTACTCTCCCACCAAGAAAACAGAGGTATTATAGATATTTTTTAGGAAAATGTTCTTTTAAAGGGGTGTCTCACATTTAAGGGGATACTGTTTTATTATCGGTCCTTGTGAGGATAAGACATTTCTTTTTATAGTAACTCATAAATTATTTAATTAACCTTTAGTATTATATAGCCTTGACAAATATCCCTTTAATATAACTTTGATCCGCTTATTTGCAATACTTAAGATATTTTTTCATAGTCCTTTGATTTACTTAATTTAATTTTATCTTTCAGTTTCTCCATCTGGGCATCCTGGTGTCCGTGTTCCTCTTCAGCTGGGCAGGGACAGTACTGAACTCCCTAATTTTCAAGAGTCTCGCGGGTTTGGCACTTTGTTGGGTAGCCACCTCCACCCACAATTACTTTCATCAGCGAGATAGTTGGCGGATGTACACTTTTAATCTGACCATGATGAACTTCCGGAGCTGGCGGGTATCGCATGCCCTATCACACCATGTCTATGCGAATTCGCTGCACGATCTGGAGATGTCGATGTTTGAGCCGTTTTTGTGCTGGATTCCCGATCGCCATTATGCCAGTAAAACGCAGCGATGGATCTCCGTGGTTATCTCCCCTGTGGTATATTTGGTTTTGTTTCAAGGACAGATTCTGATTCGGTAAGTAAATGATGTATAATTTCTTATTAAATATTTATGGATTTTCTTTTTTTCAGCTTGGTTCTCTCTTTGACAAAAAGAAACCTCATGTACTGGGATGACCTCATTGGTCTGACCCTACCAGTGTTTCTATATGTCTTCACTGACGCTGGTCTATTAGAAACTCTCGTTAGCTGGCAAATAATCGTAGCCGTGGGAAGCTTTATATTTGGGCTTGTTGGCCTCACAGCAGCCCATCATGATCCTCGTATTTTGCACGATGGCGATGCCCAACGCCAGGACATCGATTGGGGTCTTTATCAAGTAGATACTATCATCGATCGTGGCGATATCAAGTGGTCGGATCTCTTGGTTTTAACCCACTTTGGCGAACACGCCCTACATCATCTTTTTCCCACCCTGGATCACGGAGTTCTTAAACATCTCTATCCTGAGTTGAACAAAACGATGAAAGAGTTCGATGTGGAACTGAGGGAGATCAATCACTGGGGCCACATCAAGGGGCAGAATCAGCAATTGCTGAGGATAAAAAAGAATCCTGTGCCACCGGGTATTAAAAAGGTCATGTAGAGTGGGATTGGGAAACATTTGAAAAGGTTGATATTTGTAAATATTAAAATAATCTAATGTTGGGGGAATTAGATCTAACGATTTTTAGCAAATCATTAAATGCAAGGGTGAATTGTAAAATTAGCTTTAATGTTTCTATTCTTACTCTTATATTAGTATGTATTAAACTATATTAACAGAATGTGCTCTTATCAAAAAGCTGTCTCTCTTTCTCTTTTTCTCTGTTAACGTCGGTTAAAAGCTCGTTTAGCATTTCCGCTTGCTCATGGTGTTTCTTGTGATATCATAATGGTTTATTTGATCTGGAGCTTATGCAGCCCATTAACATTTCTTACCACACATAACTTAGCCACTCTTTTGAGGTGAGAGTTCAACACCATTGTTAATTTTTTTGAGTAGACCCACACTAAAGCTTAACTACGTCAAAAGATTTTTTTTTGTTAAGTCATCGTGCCAAAGCAATATACAGAAATGCATGGTTTAGATAAATGGAAATTTTAAACAACGTAAATTGAATTTAATTAAATAACAAAAAAAGTTTTGTAATATTTTTGTTAAAAAATTGAGACAATTCTGTTGAAGTATTATAAACAAAAATTTGAGATGTTTTTGCTGAGTCATTAAAACACACCAATTTTTTTCAAAAATGTAGCTTCCTAGTGACATATTAAAACAAAACAATTGTCATTAATATTTAATTGTATTTGTAATGATGTTTCTTTTCTTTTTATTCGATTCGCTTACGAATTAAATAAGGGAAGGTCAAACCCCATTAGATTCTTGCAGATTAGATTGTAGTTCGGTGTAAAAGCGGGTGATAGGCGATTTTGGTAGCCAGCAGCTACCAAGTTTTCCAATAAAAAGCCGGTCGCTAATACAGCTACCATCAGTTTCATTTTGACATTGTCCGAAGAAAGTAGTACAAATAGTTTATAGAATGGCAGCGCTTCGCTCCGTTATTTTTTGGATGCTTGCAGTTGTGACTTCCACTCAAGGAGCCAATATTTTGGGGCTCTACAGCAGCTACAGTCCCTCGCATCTGATAATCCACATGTCGGCGGCCAAGGCATTGGCCGAAGCAGGACATAATGTGACGGTGGTGTCGATGATGGAGCCAAAAGTAACGCACAAGGACATCCACGTAATTGTAGTGCCACTGGAAAGGAAAAAACAGCTCATTCTGGAAAACCAAATGGTCACCATGGCCGGGAAGAAGAACTCCATCATAAGCACCTTTCACCGCATGTTAAACGACATGGCTGTGATTATCGATTCCCAGGCTGATATACTTTCCGACCCGAGATTCCTGCGTATTTTCGACACCAAATTTGATTTGATGATATTGGGTGCCTTCCTTAACGACTTCCAATTGGGAGTTGCAGCTCAGCTAAAGGTTCCTGTAATCGTTGACTATTTGATAGCGCCGAACTTCATATCTGATGGGTTTACGGGAAACCCTTCTGAGTTATCCTACGTACCCAATGTAGCCACTTTTGCAACGCATCCCATGGGCTTCCTTAAACGAGCAGAAAACCTGGCCAAGCACCTGCTTATATCTTACATGTCGACACTGCTGGATTCCAAGTTGACACGCATTTATAAGGAATTCTATGGTACACAAAACGGACAACCAACTCTAAATGAGCTCAGAAAGAACATCTCTATGGTCTTTGTCGGCTCTCATTTAGTCAGCGAAGGTCCTATAAGACCTTTGGTACCCGCCATCGTTGAAACTGGAGGCATTCAGGTGAAGGATAAGCCGGATCCACTGCCCAAGGATATTAATGAGTTTCTAAGCAAGTCTACCCAGGGAGCTGTTTTTCTCTCACTCGGCTCCAACATCAAGAGCTCCACGGTCAATCCGGAAATAGTTCAGACCATCTTCAAAGTGCTATCAGGACTGAAACTGAACGTTATCTGGAAATGGGAGGATCTGGAGAACACACCCGGCAATGCATCCAACATTCTCTACAAGAACTGGCTGCCCCAAGATGACATCCTGGCACATCGAAACACCAAACTCTTTATTACTCATGCTGGAAAGGGAAGCATCACCGAGTCTCAATACCATGGAGTACCTATGGTGGCCTTGCCCATTTTTGCGGATCAACCCGGAAACGCTGAAATCATGGCAAATTCGGGATATGGTGTGGCTCTCGATTTGCTCACTATTACTGAAGAAAGCCTAAGCAAGGCCATTAAAGAAGTCTTGGAAAACGAAAAGTATAGTCAAGCTGTTGGCAAGTTCTCCGCTCTGTACAGGGATCGACCTCTGACCGCAAAACAATCGGTGGTTTTCTGGACGGAGTACGTCCTGAGGCATCATGGAGCCCCCCACCTGCAGAGTCCGGCTGTGCATATGAGTTTCATTGAGCTAAACAATCTGGATATCTACACACTTCTTATAACGATTGTGGTCTTGTTTCTTTTCTTAACCCGACTGGTTGGGAAATTTGTGTGGAGCAAAATCTTAGGCAAGGCAAAGATCTCAGAGGCCAAAAAGAAACAATAAAAAATTAAATTGACCATGCCTGTACCAGAAAAATATATTTTGGAATAAAGTGATACAACCTATTTAAATATTAGTACATGCACTTTAATTTAAAATACTAAATATATTGAATAAGTTACTCCAAAAATATTATTTACTACTTGTAAATTTATCCCTCCTCGGTCAGAACACATTGGGTTGGTTATCAGCTGAGTATTTTTTATTACACAATTGCGATTACTAGAATGAACAATTTAAAAATATTAAATTTAAAATAAAGCCGATCTACTAGACCATGAACTTCTCAACTTAAGGCCAATATTAATT